CATAATGTTTACTTATCTGTGGTCATGGAATGTAAGATGAGGACGTGGGTTGTTAAAGGTGAGGTATAATTTATTTCGTAATTTGCTAAACCGCACCTACGCGACAGTCTAAACGTAATTTACTGATCCTGACTCTATCAGGGGTGTCACACACGTTGCCAGTTTGAATAATAATCNAAGGCAGACTCGCATTTCACGTATCATATGATTACTGTACTTCTATTGGCTTATTTTGGACTTCACCCATCGTCTGGTATATAAAAGACAAAAAAACCACGACGTTTCGGAGACTGGATCTGTCTCCGTCTTCAGGTGGATAGGGAAGGATAAACCTACTCAGTTGGGCCCCTTAGAAAGATTGATTGAGTGAAAGAGTGATTGAGACTAGCTCTTTCTAAGGGGCCCAACTGAGTAGGTTTATCCTTCCCTATCCACCTGAAGACGGAGACAGATGCAGTCTCCGAAACGTCGTGGTTTTTTTGTCTTTTATATACCAGACGATGGGTGAAGTCCAAAATAAGCCAATAGAAGTACAGTAATCATATGATACGTGAAATGCGAGTCTGCCTTGAATAACACGAGAACATTTTAATAATCTCCATATTTTGAAACTTGCAGGCAATATGCACGCTAAACTTCTATCACACTAGACGGTGTGGCATCTCAGAAGACAGTAATCTTATGAGTCACCGCTGAGAGAACCTCAGATCTCATATAGTTTGCTTCCTTTATATTGTGACGCGCCATCCACGTAACAATATGTAGTGCTTTAGAAAGGAGGTGAAGCTCGCAAGTTTTTAATCTAAACGGTGGCAGCTGCAGACATTGCGGTGTCCTCAAAGCTTCTGACGTACAGTAGTCGCACAATATTAAAAACAATGAGTCTTCTTTACCAATAAGTGCATTTTTATGTAAATGTTATTATTATAATATCAAAAAGAACAAACTCCGTGGCTGTAGTCCGCAAGCGAACTATATCAACCGAACGACCGCCGCTTGTCGGAGAAGTTAGTGCCAGTTTTTGCGGATAGAGGGTGTCGCGTGGTCGGCGCAACGAATCCCCCCGGCCGTTAGGCTGAAAACCCATTGACGCGACTAGTCGCGAGTGGCTAGCCGCTCTTTGTCGCGCGCGTCCGTTTACATATTAGGCGTGCGACAGCTCTGCCGCCTGTCTGCCGCGTTCCAAAACTTAACCGCGCGAGGCTCCTAAAAGCAATACAAAAATAACGGCCGCGAGCGACAACACTCGACAAACCGCGCGCGGCTTGTCGCGTCAGTGGGTTTTCAGCTTAAATGTCGGGTTTCTAGACCGGAGCCGCTAATTACTTGAAGTAGCTCCTCAATTATCCTCACGATACTGAGTGGACCCCATTCTGGTAGCGTCGGGACTCGAACCCGGGAATTTTGGATCTGTAGGCAGGAACTCTGACCACTAGACCACAGAGAAAGTAGATACAGTCCACAAAATCTGTCTTAAAGCAACATCGAATATCTCTGGCGTTCACATGATATGTGAGCAACACCTGAGCTGCACACAGCATAGTGGAAAAACATAACGATTAATCCGGAAGCAGAGAATTTGTTTTTGATGTTATTATTATCTCAGTATGAAAAACAAAAGCGTAACAGTCTGCTTCGAGTAGTGTTTCCGCACGCTGTGAAGACTATGAGAAGAATATTTGGCGTTGGAAGTCAGTAGAATTAGGTTAATCGAAGCGATAAATTGTCATAAACAATTTTATAAGAATGTGATCATTGCGTTTACTTAAATTCATACGAAAACGTAATTATTCAAGTGATATTTTGAGCAGCTGGTAAGTGTAACCGTAAATCGTGGTGTCTTATGACACTCTGACCACTAGACCACAAAGACAGTCAATTACTGGAAATTCTTAAGAACTTAAATTGCAATATTTTATAATAATATTATTTAAGTAACTGACCGCATCTGTGGTCTAGTGGTCAGAGTTCCTGGCTGCAAATCTTGAGGTTACGGGTTCGATTACCGGCGCTACCATATTTTATGAGAAGTAGTGGGTCTGGAAAGGGGTCCACTCAGCCTCGTGAGGATAATTGAGGAGCTATTTCAAGGAAATAGCGTCTCCGGTCTAGAAAACCGTGATTGACAGCAGTGGGGATTCGTTGCGCTGACCACATTACACCCTCTATCCGCTAAATTTGGCACTACGCCTATAAGCGGCGGTCTCTCGGTCGGTATAGTTCGCTTGCGGACTACAGGTCACGGAGTTTCTTTTTTGTTTTTGTTGTTTATTATTTATGTAGCTAAATCTGTATAGCTGAGCCTTTCTTGAGGAGCCACCAGTCTCTCAGATACTCAAGAATTTCCCAAAATTTTATGGAACTCGAAAGTTGTTTACCGTGTTCATAAGAGTCCGTCACCGGTCTCTATTCCAATGAAAAGGAGTGTAGAACCAAAGATTGATCCAGTCATTCGAAGCTCTTAACCTGCGTTACTAACAGCGTTGCTAAATGAACAGCGAACGAGCAAACGATCGGTAAGTAACGTCATTGGTCACAGATTCTTAAGGACCCTGTCACTCCCACTTGTTACACAGAATTCAAATAGTGCGTGTTCGCAACAGCGAAGGTCTTCGATCTGCTGGCCATTGCGTGGGTTAGCAGTGGGTTGGTGCGTGCTGACTCTACTCCGTACGCGACGATCTGACGCAACTCTTGTGAGGAACAACAGAGCGGGTCCTGGGAGGAATTCATGATAACTACATTCATCTTACGGCCTTCATCAGATGAGAAATACGGCAGAACTTAAAATAATAAATTGGTCGTACCTAGCAAACAGGTTTTCAGGGGCAAAGTACAGCTTTCTTTTGGAGCTCATGTCTGTCCGTCTGTGACGAAACATCAGTAGCTACACGTCTGGATAAAGGTAAAGTTGTCTCTGTAATCAAACACTATGCCATGAGTGGGAGTGGATTTATAGTTCCACTCTTCTTGACCCCATTAAATGGAAGTGAATAGTCAGTTTCACGCCCCGGCCGCTTAACCTCCTCGGGCATCGTGTGGTATCGTAGCTGCTGAAACAAACTGTCTGAAATACACGCATCACATATCTTTAAACAACCGGATGACGCCCCTTAACGAGGTGCATAGAATTTTATGAAAGATTTTAATTTAAGTGGACTACAACGCGCAATTTTAGCGCGCATCAAAACGGCGTAACAGTTTAGACGCATCGAAACACCTGAGGATGGTCGCCTGTGGCCGAAACATGTCATGTTAGTGTTGAATGGTGAATATTTTAATGATTGTTGCAGTATTGACGGACTAAATACATACATGTAAGATTTAAGGTTTTCATGGCGGTGACTATGAAGAAAGCAGTCTTCTGGGATTTGGCACCGTGTATATGTGGTGTTAACCGACGTTTCGGAGGAACGTATAGCCTCCATCTTCAGGGTGGAAGGAAAAATATAAGAAATCCGCAGGCGAAGAGACCGTGGGAACCGGTAAAAGCAGACTGCTTTCTTAAATACATAGATTTTTAAACTTTTTTCATGAATATGACAATTGAAGATTTTTTATTGTGAAAAGTAATTGTAAATACAAAAAAGACATAAGCAATGCCTATCCTGCCCTCTGTAGCATAAATTAATTTCTGTCGCTCGGATTCGAACTTGGAACCACGAAGTAAGCTCACTACCAATGAACTACGCAATGTCTTACTATAGGCTCATGCATCATCATAACACATTAGTGCATAGAGGTGTCTAGTAGGCTACTTTGCAGTCCTGCCTGATGGCTACCCGCGCGCGTCACCTGTCTCTTCCTGTACCACGCCCCATTTTCAGTTATGGCCGTCGCACGTGACATATGCATGTTAGGCGTCAGCGTTACTATATGCTAAAACGTGGGCAGCATTTCGTTTCAGGTTTGTTGAACTCTTGCTTAAATCTTCTCACAGTTTTGTCCTGGAAGTTCTGAAAGTCTTCCTGTATTTTTCTACAGATTTCCAAAGATTACGCCTCAGTCCTGGGACATAATATTCCATAATTCAAATTCGCAACCTTACACTAAACTGGAGACAAGTTCCGTATTTAAGCAGTTGAGATATGACGTTTATTATTGTAAGCAGTGAAATATATAGATATATATGGGGAAGTAATGAAATTTTACACAGAGAGTGGTTCGAAAGTCAGTTAACCTAAAATATTCTCTCGTATTAAGACGAATGTTTATATTTAAACCTGCCAGTCAATTTGTAGCACGGTATCACAGCGTTGTGATTTGTGCATTGAAAATGGAGGATCTCATTTCGAATGATTTTTATAAATTCCATAAAAGGAAAAAGAAGTTTCCAACGGAATTTACCTTGCATTTTACTAAGCAGTTAACTGGCTTTTGGGCCATCCTATATGTTCCGGGATGTAGCTCTACGTAGCCCAGTAGAATTTCACTCTTACATTTCTTTGTTTTGGGTACACTGTAGCGTAGTTGCTTGAGGCGCTATGCTACAAGCCGGAAGGCCGTGGGTTCGAATCTCGATGAGGTGGATTTATTTTTTCCAATTTACCTAATTCTTCCAACCGCAGTATGGTCCTTTGGTCGACTCAGCCTCTAACAGATATGAGTACCAGGAATCTTCCTGTGGGGTAAAGGGAGACTGGCGCGTAAGGTTGACAATATTACCGCCATCTGCGAGCCGATTGTCTAGAGAAATTGTGGGAGTCTCGACGTCTCACAACCCTATGGGCCTTCACGGACTGTTATAGAAATAGTTTTACCTTGTTTACCTTTTTACAATTCTTTGTTTAAAATTCATAGTAGTTATATAAATTATTATCTTTTGCTTGAAATATGATTCCCTGGTTACGCTGAAACAAAAGCGCAGTATTGTGGCTCTATGAAAGACACGAGTATATACTGTCTTCTTTTTTTAGTCGTAAGCAATCGCTGCGTGCTCTTGTTTCAATCATAGGCCACTAGAGGGATATCTTGAACGTCATGTCAGCTGTCGGCAAGTATGGCGTCTGCGAACAAAGGAACATCGAAGTTTAACCACGTTTGTTATATTTTACGCATAATGAAACACTAAACTCGTGCCTAACCTCAGCGACAGGTCGTGATCTGCAGACCAGAATCTTCTTGCATCTGTGTCTGTGAGTTGCTTTCCTTTTATTTCTTTCCGTTTATTATAATTAGTATTCTATTCAGTTTAACAAAACAATTTAACGGCAATCCAAAGACATATTGTACGATAATTTTAACAGGGAAGTAAAGTTTTACATTTTGCGACAACATAAATTCAGTTGACATATTAAAATTATGTAAAAATTGAAGTTCTCACAGCAGTGGTTATGAAGAGTTCAGATTTCTTGGACATAACGCCATGTAGTCTGTTGAAAATTAACTTACGTTTCGCAGAATATGTCGTCTCCATCTTCAGAACGAAGAATAACCCAAGCAAGAAACTAGCATGAAGCACGTTGCAAGAAACGGTTTCTTGCTTATTTATTCTTCGACCCTAAAGATGAAGGCGACATGTCCCTCCGAAACGTTTATTGACTTTCAACGGTCTACAAGGCCTTATATCACAATCTCTTCATTTTAAAATTAAATTGAAACATAAATTAACAATGAGAATACTGGGCTCATGCCCGATTTTCTGTAATACGTACTTTATACCGATATTCTACACGCAGATTTAATTTAATAAAGAACGTAAATAATAACGGGACATGCACTGTAGCTGTCAGCATGATGTTCACGTTATAGGAGGGAAAGGATGTGACGTCACACACTATTTTTTATTTACAACTGTGGAACCGAATGGTCAGAAGGTTTGTAGAGTGCTCTATGCATTATTCCACACAATTGTTGCCAGATGTCACTAGTATGCATAGAAATGGACTTTCAAAAGTGTCATAAAACGGAAGAGAGAATTTGAATATGATACTAATTCCTCTGAAATTAACATTGTTTTAACATGACATTGCATTTAAATTTACTCTCTAATCGTCTTAATAATCTTAATTTAATAAGATAAAATTATTTATGAAGCCATTAATGTATGGAGTCTTTGCTACAGTCATTCGTGTAGCAATTTTTTTCTCTCATTATGATGAAACATTATAAGAAACGTCCGAAATACGTCAAGTGTCTTTATAATTATATTGTTGAAATAAAGTTAATTTTACGTTGCGTTCAACACTCGAGGCAGTTCTGTAAATTGTATTACCGTAGAGACAAGTTAAAATATGCCAGTAATGTGAAGATGATTATACGAGCAAGAACTATTTTTCTTCTATTCTTTGCCTTCACACATCCGACGTCCTCTGGCAAAGATGATAAGAAATTCGACCAGAAACCTGCCTTCCATTGCATTTGTTTTTATACGTAAGTAGGTTAAAATTTTCTTATACGAGAAACAAATTTATTTTACGGCAGCCTTTTAATTGATGCTATAAGAACTGATTCTTTGGTCCACGTCCTACCCGATGCTAAAAAAAAATTGTTGCATTTGTATCAAACGACAAATTACGTTTTATATATGTGTTTGTACGCCGACCTCAGGCCAAGTATTTTAATGTAATTAATATTATTGTATCCAATTTTATTAGTACTGCAGTTCAGTGGTGTATATATGTTGGCCATGTATTTGCCTGATGATGGCTACTAATAGCCGAAACATGTAGCAGAGCCAAACTAGGCACCGACCTTAATATAGTTGTGTTGTGATGATTTTAATAAAGAAATTAGATATTATTATAATTAACGCATACATTCAATATGATTTTGAAAGGTGTACTCAAGGTCGTCATTTTGTGTCTAATACGGGTAATCTGAACTTTATTCATTCTTATCCGTCACACTAGTAAAATAAATTACAGAATAATTGAGAGTATATTTACATATATAATACCCATAATATAATTGCATAATCATAACAAATTAAAAAAAGGCGGGGACATCACTGCGAGGACATCTGAGGACTCCAACTAACACCCCAATATTCCATTTTGACAGAAGGGACACAAGGACATGAACCATATCCTCAAGATCTTAAATATTAGACATTAATAAGATTTTAATCCAAATAATTATAAATAATTTTTTATATAAGAACTTCTAAGTACGAGTATGTATTAAGAACTTTGTAATAGTACAGAACTATTAGGCTTATATTGGACTCTGTCGATCGTGTGGGATATAGGAGACAAAAACCAGAACGTTTCGGAGACTGGATCTGTCTCCGTCCTCAGATGGATGGGGCAGGATAAACCTACTCAGTTCGGCCCGTTAGAAAGAGCTAGTTCTGTACAGCATACACCATCGTCAGTCTATTGGTAATAGTAGTTCTTGAAAATTCTGATCTTATGCTTTCTGAGGTGGTCAGCTGACCGAAACATGTAAAGGCAATGACATCTACAAATTCTATCACACCGGACGGTGTTAACAATTGTTCCATAACGAGAAATCTACATAACTAACAACAGAGGAACATTTCAGTAAAAATTGTACCATAATTAGAAGTGTTAAAATATGTGAGACATTAAAGGTAATATTTCTAGTGTCGGTTTACTTTTCATAAAAATTATATTAATTTCTTCATGTTCGCCTTTCTGTAATTAAGGCGTTACAGGAATAAGAAATGATCTGGATCTGCAGTCATGCACACCATGGCCATATGACGACACGATTTACGGTTACACTTACCAGTTGCTCAAAATATCACTTGAATAATTACGTTTTCGTATGAATTTAAGTAAACGCAATAATCACATTCTTATAAAATTGTTTATGACAATTTATCACTTGGATTAACGTAATTCTACTGACTTCCAACGCCAAATATTCTTCTCATAGTCTTCACAGCGTGCGGAAACACTACTCGAAGCAGACTGTTACGCTTCTGTTTTTCATACTTAGATAATAATTATATCAAAAACAAATTCTCTGCTTCCGGATTAATCGCTTTGTTTTTCCACTATGCTGTGTGCATGTCAGGTGTTGCTCACATATCATGTGAACGCCAGAGAAATTCGATGTTGCTCTGCGACAGATTTTGTGGACTGTATCGACTTTCTCTGTGGTCTAGTGGTCAGAGTTCCTGCCTACAGATCCAGAAGTCCCGGGTTCGATTCCCGACGCTACCAGATTTTGTAAGAAGTAGTGGGTCTGGAACGGGGTCCACTCAGCCTCGTGAGGATAATTGAGGAGCTATTTCAAGGAATTAGCGGCTCCGGTCTAGAAAACCGAGATTATCGACCACCACGTGACACCCTCTATCCGTAAAAGTTGGCACTAACTTCGCAGACAAGCGGCGGTCGCTCGGTCGGTATAATTCGCTTGCGGACTACAGGCCACGGAGTTTTTATCTTATAGAGTAATTCTTTTTTGTTTCTTATGACAATTATAATCTTAAAAATGATCCGTCCACAGTCTGTTACAATATTGTCCTTTATGTCTGTCCAAAGTATGCTTAAGAAGACACGAAAATGCCACATAAAGAAATTTTATACGGATGTTTTATATATAGAACAGAATACACAGCAAATATTTTATTTTAAGTTTTGAAATTAGTGATTACAAAAGCAGGGGGTGTGAACAAGAACTGGGTTCAGTTACTTCAGTTTATGATCTAGGCATATCCCATAACACCAGAATTAATAATAACGACGTACAAAATGCGTCCGTTGCAACGAACGTACTTTATGACGGACGTTACTGAGGACACCACACAGTTGCAGAATGCGGTGCGTAGTTTTTTGTCTGCAATGGAGCCAGAAGAAAGCGTAGCATTCGCCTGTCTTGTTTATTTCTACAACGGACGTCACGACATTCGTTACAAAGGACGCATTTTGTGTGCTAGTGTGGCCCCAGCCTAGAGTACGATTTGGCGGTGCCCAGTGCAATGGATTCGTTAAAATATGTTGCATGAAGATGGCCCTGTGTGGCCGATGAATGCAGCGCAGAAAACACAGAATGTATATACTTTTAATTATATTTTAAACATTTTAATGAACATTTTAGTGACTTAAATGTGAATTAGTGTCATCTGATTCTATATTGATATATTTGCATTGCAAGACGGAAGAAGGCTACAAGTGATGGTAGTGATTACGTTAAAGGCAGAGAATTTCTTGAACAGTTGTAGGAATATCAGCTTTTCCAGAAGGACTCTTCTACACTCAATCAGTTAGCGTAGTTCGAGTCCCGGTAGGGTGAAGAATTTTCACTTCTCCAATCGTCCAGACCGGCTCTGGGGTCCACCCAACCTCCTATACAATCGGTACTGGGGGCTCTTTCCCGGGGGTAGAGCGGCCGGGGCGTGAAGCTGACCACTCTCCTCCAACTAGTGCCGAGGTCAAGAAAATTATGATCTATACATCCACTCCCCCATACGCCTTCATTGGATAGTGCTTAATTAGTTAAGCACAGGGGCAAATTTACCTTCACCTATTTTTTCTTTTTCCTTGGCACTACAGCCCCAGTGGGCCTAGGCCTACCTCCATGAACTTCTCTGTTCACTTCGGTTTTTCTAGATCTTACACATTCGGTAGGACTCCTTGGGCGGGTGATCAGCTCGTCGCAAGGCCTCTACCTGTACACAAACACAGAAAAACGCACACACACAAACTAAACATCCATGCCCTGAGTGGGATTCGAACCCACGATCCCGGTTTCCAAGCGAGCGAAAACAGTACATGCCTTAGACCGCTCGGCTACCGTGACCGGCTACCTTCACCTTACCTTATGAAAATAACTCCGAGAATTGCGTACTGATTCTGGTGTTACAAAGAGAGCAAACGGCTCTCGGATCAGGTAGATAAAATAAAGTCAAGTTCCAGTTTTATTTGTAGAGCGTCAGCCTCCTTTTGAGACTGTGATTTGAGTGGAGCTTTGTATAGAATTAATCTACTCCCTGGCGCCACAGTACCAGACATTTTTATATACGATAAATCAAGTTGTCCTGTTCCTGAGTTAGGAAAAGCAATACCTTCCACATCTCTCATGTTCTCAGATGTTATCTGATCCGGACGTCTATTGCGCATGTGTGATGTGTGTCATAAAGCAGAGGCCCATAACCTTCTTGGCCAGAGGGCCATATTAAGAATTCAACTCGCTTTTCAAGCCGGATAATAAAGACGTTTTTGAGATACCTGAAGCAGCTTCGTAAACAACAATTTACCAGTTCTGTCTGCGCTTTTAGCGGTAAGTCTAACTCGTGTAGGAGTCTATGAATTTCCATTAAAGTATCGATTTAATAGTTTCAAGATGGCGTCAGGTGTGTAAACACTGATCAACTCTTCGCCCTGGGATGTTAACTGTCATGTGATTTCCATATCAGTCCTTTCAACTTACTGGCTGAAGTGTCTTATGCTAATTTCCTTGTCATTGTTTCCAAACGAAATGACTTCGCAGTAATAACGGAATTTATTATTTTTAGATCCCCTGAGGCGTGTCGTGGTGTACCGATTTACAACACGTCATGGTAAGACGATGCCCCCGTTTGAGGCACCGTTTCATCCTGTCGTCTGCAGGAGAACTGCGTTTCCATGCATGTGTCAACCGTTATGCACACTGAGAGATACAGTGTCCCTGAAGAGGATGTCGTTAGGCTAGCGGCAACACGTCACAGGTCGCTTGGAAGATCTCCACATAGAAGAATAACATGAAAACGAATCTGAGGAACGTAATGTGAGGGTGTGGTCTGGATTCATTCGGTTGAGAAAGACAAGCTGTTGTGAACACTGTAATGAACGGAAATTATTGTATTCTGGGATGTGATATCGTGTAACTTGGTAGGCCCTTACTAAAGTTTCAGAGGAATCTGCTATTTCTTTTTTAAGAGTATCTTCTGGGATGTGACGCCGAGTAGTCTGGTAGTTTGTTACCAGTTATTCAACTGAGCCTCTTGACCCCATTTTCAGGATAGGATATGAAGGCAGTAAGTTAACTAGACGAAACTGTTGCCTCTATCTTCAGACTATATTCTGATATGTAATGCACTGTGTATTGGTACGTCGTTAAAGTAATTTCAGAGGAACTTGCCTCAGTTTAAGGGCAATATTTGGGTATAAGTTTTTTTTAACTTGTGTGATTGATTAAAAGTTGTGCTTTAATTTTTTCATTCTTTACGTGTTTCGGTCAAAACGACCATCTTCAGAACATATAAAGAATGAAAAATTAAGAACACAAATTTTATCGATCACACTGGACAGTGGTTAAAAGTCTTATATACAGTTATTAGTGTGGCGGACCAGGATGAACCGAGATAAGTAACATTTGGCATGTGACTTCGTGTATACTGGTAATTTGTTACCAGTTACCATATGAGAATGCTGCCTGCATCTACAGGGTAGGATCCACGAGAGAACATGCTGCTTCTATCTTCAGGGTATCCTCTGATATGTGACGCTGTTTAGTGTGGTAGATGGTTACCAATGTTTTCGACTAATTTTCTGCCTCCATTCTCAGAATAACATAAAGGATGTGATACCGTATAGCCTGGTAGATGGTTTCCAGTGTTTCAACTAAGCCTGCTGCTTCTATCTTCATGGCAGGATTTGGAGGTAGTAGGGTCACCAGAGGAACGTGATGCCGCCCATCTTCAGGATGTATCCCACTATGGAGGCCCTGGTTCAATCCCAGTGTAGATGAGAAATTAATAATACTAAAGTGGAGTTTCGTGAAATGCGCGTGGGTGGCGGATGTGGACTGAGTCGACAGGATAAGCAAAGCGGTAATTCACGGTTGGGTGCCACAAAGGATAGGGAATTTCTAGAGTGGTTGAGCGACCATCAGCTCCTCAAGAATCACTCTCCTCCACGAAGTAGAGGCCACGGGGTCTCCATAAAGCAAACAGAATCCACACGTTTCATTAAGACATTTCCGTCTCTAGAATTAAGCAAATCTACTTTGTATTTTTATTCATTATAGGGAAAGAAGTGAGGGCAGGCGGTAGCGTAGTTGGTTGAGGCACTATGCTACAAGCCGGAAGGTCGCGGGTTCGATTCCCGACGAGGTGGATTTTTTTTTATATTTACCTAATCCTCCCATCCGCACTATGGCCCTGGGGTCGACTCAGCCTCTAACAGAAATGAATACTAGGAATCTTCTTGAGGGTAAAGTGCGGCCGGCGAGTAAGGTTGGCAACCTCACCGCCATCTGTGAGCCGATTGTCTAAAGAAAATGTGGGAGTCTCGACGTCTCACAACCCTATGGGCCTCCACGGCCTGTTACAGGGATATCTTTCTCTTATAAGGAACGAGGACAAAAGAATTATTGTCGTAACTTAAATTTGTTTTTACTGACAGGGGCCTCCATACTTTGACTGTCCCCGTGCCCCCACAACTGTAATCTCTACCCTGAAGTGGACATTCTTATATGGCTCTGTGTAGTGATAAATTGCAGTGCTAATATTTCACACGTCCGCGCGACTCTTTGTGTATGCTACGTTCTTCAGTGTTGCTGAAAGCTCTTTACTAGCAAATTCGGCACAAAAAATATGATGGAGTCTCCGCTTGGATGCCCCTTACTTTTAATTGTTCTTATAATGTCTGCATTCCCACTTACCGAGTGCCTTCAGTTTTTAAGCGTTTTCGATTAGAATTATAAAGGGGTAGGGCTATGTCCGTCAGTCTTGAATGAACAAGAAGAATAACATTGTGTGGGGGCATCTGTGCGGTTATGTTTCCACTTCAAAAAAAGAAAAAAAGTACCTGAACCACTGAATAGTTTCGTTTTAAAATCGATTAATTTTGTCGCTTCCCGTGAGTAATTTAAGAGTGACGTAGGACATAATTATTCCTATAACAAAAGGTTCAAAGAAGAACTTGTAGACAGATTTATCCAATGTTTACCTACGTATACACGAGAGTGAACAGAATTTGTAAATGATGCTTTATTGATTAACCTAATCCTTCCAACCGCACTATGGCCCTGGAGTCGACTCGGCCTCTAACAGAAATGAGTACCAGGAACCTTCCTGGGGGGTAAAGGGCGGCCGGCATGTAAGACTGAAAAACTATCGCCATCTGTGAGCAGACTGTCTAAAGAAAATGTGGGAGTCTCGACGTCTCACAAGCCTATGTGCCTCCACTGCCTGTTACAGGGATACCTTTACTTTTTACCTTTTTATAAAGCAGTGACAGTTTTATAAATATTTTTTTACTAGTTCATATTTTTACAGTTGATATTTGGGGAGAGCTTAGAAAATATGGTCTATAGTTACAAGATTAGGAGTTTGATTCCCGGTAATGAAAATATTTTTGATTATTTGCCAGGGCGTCAAGACCTGCTGTGCGTCACAGCCCGTCTTCTATCCAATGGCTGACGGGCTAAAGCGGCCGAAGGTGAAGCTGGCTACTCATCTCGCACCGAGATTAAGAATACTTGGAGTTATATTTCCGTTTCCCACAAGCCGGAAAGTCGCAGGTACGATTTCCGACGAGATTATTGGAATTTTCACTACATCCTTGGGGCCGACTCAGGTTTAGGTTATCGAGAGGGCTCTGACGGAAAGTACGACGAAGTACGCAGTCTGTTAACTCAACAGTTGCTGTCTTATGGTTATATAAATTCAGCCCTCGTCGTCCCGAGTAGCACGTAATTTCATATACCCAGCAAAATGACAGATGGCAGTAAGATACTCCGTAACAAGAAGATTACTGTAACTGGATGCTAACATCATTATGAAACAAGTATTTCTATACAAATTTTAATTTTACGGTTATTATCTCACGTTCACGAATAACATGTTTATGGTGTCAGTCCCTTTTCTTCTGCTTTGTGCCTGTAATTCGTACACTTCCCTGCAGCTGGTATCATAAGCCGCAAGGGGGACGGTTAATGGGGTCTCGGTTACCCATCCGAATATTGCTTCAGGCTCAGACAGCCGCCAGCCATATAATAATGTTCAGTGATTAGTTTGTATCCTGACTGTACGTTTCCGGGTTGGTAGCTACTAACAACTCTCCGGATGAAATCAAGGATAACGCGAGACTTTCATTATTAGATTAGAAGAACATTAGCGCCCATACAAAATATCAAAGCTGATTGTCAAATTAATGTCATAGAAGTAACGGTAACAGGCCGTGAAGACCCATAGGGTTGTGAGACGTCGAGGCTCCAATATTTTATAGATAATCAGCTCACAGATGGCGGTGAGGTTATCAGCCTTACGCTCCGGCCGTCCTTTACCCCACAGGAAGATTCCTGGTACTCATTTCTGTTAGAGGCTGAGTCGACCCCAGGGCCATAGTGCGGATGAAAGGATTAGGTCAATTGAAAAAATCCATTGACCACATCGGGACTTGAACCCGCGACCTTCCGGCTTTTAGCATAGCCCCTCAACCAACTACACTACCGCATGCCCCGATGCAAAATTATAGTTAGCATATTTTAATCTTTAGGCCTTTAGTCAGGATACGAGATGACTGTTCTGAACAGAACGGTAGCGAGCATACCGGAAAATAACCTGCTCTTTATTTCTACATGAATAAAATTTTGATATGTTGCTGTCGTTCACAAATGTCTGAAAAACATTATGAACACAGTTTAAATTCTCATGGGCTGGCTATTGCTCTCAGATATTAAGCACATAGACGAAGAAACGAGCACTTTTATGTCTCGTGTAAAAAAGAAAACGCATGCCGCCATATTGCCAGCAGCGTATGCGAGCAATATCTTGATATTCACAAAACTGAACATGCCCTAATGCCAGGTTAGGGCACAGCCTCTACGTCAGGGAGAAATTAACAAGTTAATTTATTGTAATTTGGGGTTCCACATACTCGCAGGCAACAAACTTAGCACTGAAAACCCAAAATTTGGGAGGCACCAGAGAAAAAATATGGAAATATTATAACTACAGCTTTCAAATGCTGTCATTCTAAAATTAATAGCTTATGGATATACTTTTCTAAGTACTTATTTGCTTCTGTGATGAGAGAATTCGTACGAAAGTAAAAATGCTCCCAGTTGTAAGAATTGTTGGACTGAGACGATCAGGATCTTGATTTAGATAAATTGCTCTAAGCATTATATCACTGTCTTCTTGGAACAGGGATGAGAAAATTAGGGCCCACGGAGCTATCGTAAATTTTCACCTAGAATATTGTTTTCAGTTCTTATAAATATGTTTTAAAATTTCAATATAAAGAACTATAATTTTGCCTGTCGTTATGTATGTGCTTGAAACTTTGTTTCTGACCTTAAGGGAGGAACATAGACTGCGGGTGTTTGAGAACAGGGTGTTGAGGGGAATATTTTGACCGAAGAGGGATGAAGTGACAGGAGGTTGGAGAAAACTGCATAATGAGGAGCTTCATAACTTGTACTCTTCTCCAAGTATAATTAGAATGATCAAGTCAAGAAGGGTGAGGTGGGCAGGGGGGGAATGGGGGAGACGAGGAATGTAATGTAGGATTTTGGTGGGAAACCAGAAGGAAAGAGACCACTAGGAAGACCTAGACGTAGGTGCGAGGACAATATTAAGAAGGATGGTAGAGTGATAGGATGGGATGGTATGGACTGCATTGATCTGTCTCAGGATAGCGACCAGCGGGTGACTCTTTTGAATACGGTAATAAACCTTCGGGCGTCACGTCACAATATGTTACTCTACTTAACAGATCTTGGCTACGTCTAACATAACCTGTTTATAGATTGCTGGGTGAGAAAAGGCAAAGTTATCCCTGTGCTTAATTAATTAAGCACTATGACATGAAGATGTATAGGGGAAGGGATATATAGATCCACATATTCTTGACCTCGGCATTAGTTGGAGATCAGTGGTCAGCTTCACGAACTGGCCGATTTACTCCCTGGAAAAGAGCCCCGGTGCATTTTGGAGGATGGGTGGGCTTCAGAACCGATTTTGACATCATGGAAGGGAGAAGAATATTGCCCCATCTCAGACTGGAACTCTTGACCCATCGGCCGTTGAGCCCGTGGCCGTTCATCATACCGACTACGCTATTCAGGTTCCAATTTACAGATTGCTTCTAAACAATATTACGAACCCGAAAAGTTGGGGGGGGGGGCACCATGCTACAAGCCGAGGTCGCGGGTTCAAGTCCCGATGAGGTCATAGGATTTTTTTCAATTGACATAATCCTTCCAGCCGCACTACGGCCCTGTGGTCGGCTCAGCCTCTAACAGAAATGAGTACCAGGAATTAATTAAATAATTTTTCTGGGGAGTAGAGCGCGGCCGGCGCGTAGGGCTGACAACCTTACCGCCATCTGTGAGCCGATTGTCTAGATAATGTGAGACCCTCAACGTCTCACAACCTTATGGGCCTTCACGGCCTGGTACATGGATAGCTTTACTTTTTTACTTACCCGAAAAGTGTAACCGTAAATTTCCTAATTTTATAACGTGAATTTCGACAACTTTCCCGCACATATCTGACGCACATACAGCAGTATAAATACAATTATTCAAGGGAGTAGTGTTAATCCTCAGAAAATGAGAGTTTTAAGCGAAACTCTTTTAATACATGGCTCTTTTAACGCACCATAAAAATGTTTAGGAAAAAAGTTACTACCGTAAAAATTATTGCAACACTCAGCTGGTATTAAACCGCCTGCTTTTATGCTACCGAAATAACTTCATCTCTGTTAACGAGAGCCTGTTCTCAGGGTTCTCTCCTGAGTCAAATCCCTCACGTTCCTTTACATACTCCTTCCTTAACATGCATTTTAATAATCTCCTCCAACTCATGTCTTGCAAGAAACATTTTCCTTCCAGGATTTCGGAAACAGATTTTGATCGAACCATTTATTTTCCACATGTGCCGTAACCCGCCGCCTATATAATCAGCCTTGACCTATTCACCGAGATAATACTAGATACCAAATAGGGATTACAGAAGAAAGAATAAAATAAGTCTTCAATTGATTAACTAATTAATAGTGTGAACGAAAGCATGTCTAAAAATACATATATTTGTCTTAAGTTTTACATTTAATGATTTCGGTTTATGCACCTTCATACACAGAAATACAGTTCTTTCTTTTTTTTCCCCCTTGGCACTACAGCCCCAGTGGGCCTAGGCCTACCTCCATGAACTTCTCCGTTCACTTCGGTTTTTCTAGATCTTACATTCGGTAGGACTCCTTGGGAGAGGGATCAGCTCGTCGCAAGGCCTCTACCTGTACACAAACACAGAAAAACGCACACACACACACACAAACTAAACATCCATGCCCTGAGTGGGATGCGAGCCCACGATCCCGGTTGCCAAGCGAGCGAAGACGGTACATGCCTTAGACCGCTCGGCTACCGTGACCGGCCACTACAGTTCTTACAAAGTAAAAATGTACTAGTGTTCTTATACCGCTATACTTGGGTCAAGACATGAATGAATGCAGATGTTACCTGTTTTTCTAGCACCTAATTTCACTTTCGGCACCTTCCCCTTCTTTTACAATTGCCATTTGTAATTTCTTTGTTTCTCTCTTTCAGTTCCAGGTTTGCTATTGGTTCAGGTGAAGGGAAGGAAATACCACATTGAATATATTAGTTCAAAACTAAATGCAGTCTGCTACATAATGAGATTGCTTAAACCATATATGTCTATAAATACCTTAAAAATAGTTTATCACTCTTATTTTAATTCTATTATAAATTATGGTTTACTCTCCTGGGGTAATTCACCCCAAAGTATAACAATTTTTAGAATGCAAAAGAATATAATTAGAATTATGTTGGGATGCAGAAGGAGGGAGTCGTGCAGAAACTTATTTAGAGAATTAGAAATCTTACCTCTGGTATCTCTTATGCTCTTTGTGATAAAAAACAGAAACAAATTCATAGTAAATTCAGAGATTCATAGAATAAATACCAGACAGCAAAATAATCTCCATTAACCTCTTGTAAATTTGAGTAAATACCAAAAGGGAGTTTATTATTTAGGAACAAAGGTCTATAATAATCTACCGCAACATATTAAGGATATATCGAGTGACACTAAGAGTTTTGAGGTACAATTGAAACAGTTTTTACATTTACATTCTTTTTATTCATTACAGGAATATTTCTGTTATAAATGTTTTTAAGATGTGAGTAGCTGTCTTGCTTTACAATTGAAAGAAGACAAGACTGTCAGTCTGTGTTCTGGTTTTTAGTTACTTATTTTAGATATACACAATCTTTGTATCACTGTATACTAGTCTTTATTTCAATTTATTACAATATTAATGTATGTTATACAAAATTCATTAATGACATTGTGTTTTAACTATTGAATTTTTAATTAAGAAACTTGTATAAAACTGTACAAATTGTATAAGGTTTGCCATTACTTTTACTACTAAAATTAACTTATTTTATTGTATTGTATATGTTTATCAGTATTGTATTACAAATGTGTATGCTATTAGATGACAACTGTAATTCTTAGTTGTGACTGTAACCAGGACGATCTCCACATCCGCATGAGAATGTACTCTCGACAGGATTTATGGAAGGTGAATAAATGAAATGAAATGAAGAGCCAGCCAGGATACTTATCACCTGAGAGCATCTCATTATCTTCCCATAATGAGGAAAGGAACTGTCATATTCATCATGTCAGGGTCATTGTAATTTCTCTTTGCTTTATGAGAAGGCCAGAAATAGGGATTTCCTATAGAAATACAAAATATGGTTTCTGTTTTTATAAAACTATATTTTGCATTTCTAATCTGGTGTTTCATTTGATTAATGATATTCTAACACAATTTGGTACTTTATTTATCTCAATGTTATAACTTGTTCTCAGTTGTATTTATTGTTCCTAACATGATTTTACAATTCACAGTAAATGCACCAATTGCTATTAATCACTCTGATTTTATCTGTAATCAAATAATAATCACAATCATGATGTAATATGATTTAAATTAATAATCCCTTAGTAACACATTATTCTGAACACTGTTGTTCCACATTCTCTCTCTGTGTTTCACTGTTACAACACAAGTAAATTATCTATAGCCATTTCCAAAACACAATATCTGTTCCTGTTATGTACGTCACCTATGCATGTTTTCAAGTCAAAATATTTATTCTTGGCCTCTCTTAATCAACACTAAAAACTTTCATATTAAAATGTCAGTAATTGTCTTTTGTCATCTATAACCATTTTGAAGTCAGAGAACTTATGTCCATCATATCTGCATCGTCTACAGCCATTGTAAGGTGGAAGTATTTGTGTCTGACATTTCTGTGTTATTTCCAGCCAAGTATTTATTTCTGACCTGTATTTGTCGTCAATGCCTGACTTGTCTTTAGCAGTGTACAAATATTTCGATGTCAATTACTTACTTGTCTGTACCATCAGTAACCATTTCCAAGTCAAAGTATATTTTCTTTATTATATTTGTCTGTTTTAAGTCAAATAATCTGGATTTCCCTCATCAAGATGATGGGTGTTCTCGAATTGTCTTTCTTAGCCAATGCTATTTTGAAGATAGCGGATGTCTGGAACTGTCTTGGTCATCAAAACCTTTTGAAGTCAATGCAGTAACTACTGACTTCCCTTTGTTAACTTCATCTTCAAATCGAAGGATATGTCACTGAACTGCCTTTGTTTTCTCTAATCAATTAAAAAGTCATAATAAATGTATTCCTGATTTTTGTGTGTCATCTGTGACTACAACCACATTCAAACCACAGGATGCTTATCTGACCTATCTTTATCACCTACAACAACTTGTATCATGGTTAATCAAGTCACGTCCTGTCTCTAATTATAACACAACGTGGCTCTAATTAAAGTCCTATTGAACAGTTTAAATGAAAATAACATCCTATTGTCATTTACTCATAATGGCAAATGCAGATGTCTCTTTATGACACCATAAACTCTTACTGATGTCACTTCAGAGTTTTGAGATTGTAGTCAGTTAAGTTTTGTGTGTAAATAGTTACATTATTTGTCTTTATATCATGTTGAAATGATGTAAAAACTAACAAATCTGAATCCATGTTCTGTTGAGTGACAAATTTACTGTTCCAAGTATGACTGCAGTCATAGTACTGTACATTGTCAAAGTAACAGTGTTCTCTTCTGTCATCTAGAAAGTTACATAACTGAGATGCCTGTACCAGTTCCTCAGATCCCTAGTTTGACTAGTACATCATAGCAGGATAGTAATTATTCACAATATTTATATTGGCCTAATAATATCACCTGTTAGTGCCACTAGCATTTTTAATTTATTAAAATTGTTGAGATTATAAAAACTTCTCAGGTCACTGATAATTTGTGAGTTACAACAGTTGTGTCAGTGTCCTGATTTGTCTTTTGGTCTGCTGTCAGTTGTCATTGCCATTTCAATGTCAGTCTCATACAATATAGGCTTACGATTCTTTTTCAGGTTAGAAGTTTCCAATTACAATCATAGCATCAGTTCCTTCAGCATCAGAGATATATGTTCTCTCTTCTGAGATTAACACCTTGTAGTCCCAACATCAACCCACATTTCAGAGGAACATGTTGCTTCTATCTTCAGGGTCAAGAAATTAGTCAAGCAAGAAACCAATGTGAAGCATATCAAGATCAGCTACATAATCATTATCAATGCCACATTGATGCATCTCTTTTAAAATGAAGTTAGTTATATGTCAGAAAAATTATGTCTGAAAGCAGTCATTTGCTTGTGTCAGCTGTGTGTCTAATTTTGTTGCATCCAAGTAGACCCAACAGCTGTTGTCAGTTTCACGTCAGTTATTATTGATGCCTCATTGTTAAAGACTACATCAACTGTTATCAAAATATTATTTCCTCAGAGCTGTAACAGACAGATATATTATGAATTTATCACTGAATCTTATAGTACTTCATCTTTTGGAGCTTCATAATTCTTCTTACCAGTTCAACAGTGACATCTGTTAACTTTTTCTAATTTAATGTATATAATTTATCTACCAATTGAGTCACATCTGTTTATTACACCTCTTAATTGATTCTTACCTGTCCTTTCATATTAAAAATAACTTGTTTCATATATCATGTTGTATGCAATGTAACTCTTTGTCTCTTAATTAAGCAATTGTCACATTAAATTAATGATGTCTGAGTCATTACTGTAATTAGTGTCAGTCTTAAATCCTAGTATGGACTTAAAAGTTCTTTTTTACGTCAAAGGTAATTGCAGTAATCATGAAGTACATTTTAACTTCTTCAAACAAAAAAATTTATTCTACTATGATAGATTCCAAATATTTCTTTTTCTTCGTCATGGAACACCATAAATACCTTTACCAGCTCGTCATAACATGTATTTTAAATTGTCTTTGTTCTTCCACCTGGCATTATTTAATTTAATTTCCTTACTCATAACACAGAAGGGGTTGTCTATATTGTGGTGTCATTGTGTCTGTTTCTAAGTTTCATTTACTCCACGAGGAATGCATTTACTGTTGGCAAGTAATTGTACACATTTTGTTGTCTTGTGACACAAACCATTATCTTCTACTGTAGCAATGTAATTCATATTCCTAAGTTGTCTTTATATCAGAAATGGCATTGCTGACACTAATAGCAAGTCATATTTATTGACCTTACTTATAACAAAGGCAACCGTTATTCATGCTGAGTCATTTATATGTTTCTGAATCATTCTTATTGTAGTTTCATAGTACATTTCAAATTAGGCTGACAGCACATTGAACTCTACTGGTACTACTACAGAATTATACTTCTTTGCATTTATTACACAAAACAATTTATTGTACTGTTATGCTGTAGAGTCTGTTTCTAAGTTATGTCTTAGGGATGCTGTTATCACTGTTACCTGTTTAGCCTGTCTTCACAGTACAGGGAACTTGGGACTTACTACTATTATGTCATTCAGTCTGTAATTCCTTCCGGTTTCAAAGAAGTCACAATACTTCTATCTCTGATTCTGGCTTACATCTAATATCCTGGATTGTCATTCATCTTGTGTTGCAGTGTCCTCTGTCTTTGGCTTGATACACAGTTCAGTGGTCTCTGTATTGTGAGTCAGACATTAGGTATGATATGATAAATTACTGTGTGTTTATAGTCATTCAAATGATATTTTTCATGATTTGAATTTGAATTTCTAGTTCCTGAATGACAACAAATGCTGTACTTGCTTTTATATCTTTGGTCTCAGTTTGATGACTCTGCAAGTTATAGCAATATGTAGTGTTCTTAGACAGTACTGTAGTCATAAAAAACGGAGCATATATTGTATAGAAAGGTAAACTGTGAGAGGAATCAATCCAGTTCCTTTCTTTTTAAGTGCAAATTGCACAGTTTTAATAATATGATGGAATGAATAAACATACAAAAGGCTTTACTGTGAATTTCATAGGACAGTACGCACCAATCACAATGGTTCTTTCTTTTTCTAACATGTCAATTTCATAACATGAAGCGTTTCCATCTATATTGTATAACAACTTGCAACAATTTGTTGTACAACTCATTTCTTATAAATTAAAATAAAAAAGATAAAAAGAAAAGTTGCTTTTCATAAAATTGTATAGTTTTCATAATGGTAGGGTATAAGTTATCTGCCAGAAAAAGATGAGGGTAAATCTACTCATTTAAAAAAAAATAAGGCATATGGTATATACCACCATATAGCCTCCATTAATATACTGCTTTTAGGTTGTCATCTAGTAATCTGATATGTCTATGAGAATAATATAGCCAATTTATAGACATATCAGTGTATTTTTACAAAATTGTTGCTGCTGCATGACAGACTAATATTTTCTTACTTCACAATTAAATATTCAAGTGCTGGTGTGCCTAATCTTGACTCCAATTTTATATTCAGTCATATTATGTCCACTGTCATTGATCTCAGCCTAATTTCTTTGTTCCCTGTTGTCACTGTTAAGCTGTTATCTTTGCCTTCTTAACTTATTTTCTATGATCTTTGTTCTGTCATTTAAGCATTACTTCTCTTAAGTCATGGTGCCTCATCTGTCTGTTTAGTTTATTATTTTATGTCACTGGCTGTCATTTTTCAATCTTCTTTCTTGTTTCAGTTGTATAGTCTTTGGTTTGTCACTTAGATGTCACGATATAATTTTTTACCATTTTGTGTCTCTTGGGATGGATTAAGCTTCACAGGGTCCAGATTGTCATCAAAGTATTATACGCCTAGTAAGTTGAAGTCTTCTCAGTGTCCAGTTCCATGTCAGTTTTACAGTCACTGTTTGTCAGTCACATGTTACTGCTGTAACATCAGAGGAATTCACATATTTCTTGTATTATTCTACAGTATTCTATTCTGTCAGTTTAGTTTCATATTCATTGTTTTGTCAATTAAATGCTGTGGACAGTTTCTCATTATTTTAATCTTTTAAAATATAGTCAGTAGTGCACAAGTCAGACTACCATTTCAGTATCATATTTGTTACAAGTCTTCTCAGTCTTTTGTCACATCTCTGTTTTATAGTCAATATTCGCTAAAGTTGGCACTAACTTCGCTGACAAGTGGCGGTCTCTTGGTTGATATAGTTCGTTTGTAGACTAAAGCCACTGCTGTAATGTCGAAGTCTTATCTGTCTTAGGCCAAATTAATGTCTTGATTTCCAGTATATCACACATGTATTTCTTTCATTATATTATGGTCTTCTATCCTGTCAGTTTAACTTCACATCCTTTGGTTTGTCTGAAATTCTGGAGTTATTTTGCCATTGTCTTATGTCTTGTGGGGATGGCTCAGTACAGAAATCAGATAGTCGTCCAAATGTCACATTTATTGTATAACAATTGTGTAATTTTTTGGTCACAACTCTGATTCATTGTCAGTGTTTGTCATGTACATGTTACTTAAGTAATTTTAGTCATATCTGTCTTAGGGTAAGTTAGTTTGTTTCCTGTATATCATTCATATACTATACAGTCTTCCTTTCTCCAGGTTTAGTTTCACATTCCCTGGTTTGTCACTTACATTTTGTCGTCATTTTGTCATCACACTGTGTCTTGTGGGACTCGGCCAATGCTGAGATCAGATTGTCATCATGCATCTATTTATTATGTAATAATATTGTCAGTTTTTGGCCACAACTCTAATTCACAGATAAGGTTTGTAATGTAAATTTATTTCTGTAATGTCAAAGTTATGTTTGTCCAAGGCCAAGTTAGTGTTTTGTTTCCAGGCTTGTCATTTTCATATGGTACAGTCTTCTATTCCGTCAGTTTAGTCACCCATTTTTGTAGTCATTCTATCATCACTCTGTGTCTAATGTGGCTCAGCCAGCACAGAGATCAGATTGTCATAACACATCACATTTACAAGTAATCTGTTAGAAGTTAACAGTCTTTGATCACACTGTGTTTTATAGTCACTGTTTGTCATGTAATTTTTACTTCTGCAATGTTAATAACATATGTGTCTTAAGGCACGTCAGTTTCTTGTTTCCCAGTTGTCATGCATGTATTTTACAGTCTTCTTTTCTCCAAATTTAGCTTCACAGTTTTTGGCTTGTCACTCAAATTTTATACATGGTTATTTTGTCATCACTAGCACTGAGATCAGAGTGTCATAACATATCGCATTCACAAGTATTCTGTCATATGTTCACAGTCTGTGGTTACAACTGTGTTTTATTGTCACTGTTTGTCATGTAATTGTTATTTCTGCAATGTTAATGTCATATGTGTCTTAGAGCAAGTCAGTTTTTTGATTCCCAGTTGTCATGTATGCATCTTACAGTCTTCTTTTCCTTAGTTCTAACTTCACAGATTTGTCTTGTCACTCAACTTTGTCATCACCTTGTGTCTTGTGGTGCTGAGCCAGAACATAGGTCAGATTATCATCACACTTGTGTATCACATTTATTCTGCAAGAGTGTGGTCAGTCTTTGGTCACAATTCTGTTTTATAGCTAGTGTTTGTTATGTAAATGTTATTCCTGTACTGTCAATTTTATCTGCATCTAGACCATGTCAGTCTGTCATCCAAATCTATAATTTACGTTACAGTTGCAGTCATTTGGGTGTTGTTATTACCATTAGTGTATCATGACCTGCATGTACATGGTGTTCATTTATCGTCAACATGTTACTGTTTTTTGTAGTGTTATTCCTTCTTGTCTTATTGTACCTTGAATGTTAGAGTGTATATTAAATGCTACAATTAATTGTTAACTTGCGTCCATTGTCTTCTGTTGTTGTTAAGTTCTTCCATGGTCATAGTCTGCCATTAATTTTGCCTCACTTGAACTTCTTGGTAATTTGGCTGTCATGAAGTCATGAATTTTCTCAGTCTAGTCTCAATTCAACCTCAGAGATTTAGAGTGGAAAATTAAACGTTAATACTGCTTCTATCCCTTTCAACTTGCAAGTCATTAATTTGTGAAGGCTGTTCTGTCAAGTATTCTTTCATAGTATTTCCAGTCTAAGTCAAATCAGAAAATTTCAAATTACCCCATGATAGGGTATATAGTCTTGTTCTGTATGATGTATGGTGAGTTTGATTGATATTTCAACAAGAGGCAGAGTTAATGTTCTTTGGATTTCAATAAATAAAATCCTCTCTTGTATTATAAGCAGTTTACATTCATTCCCAAAGAACTTTATCACACTCTGTGGACAAGCAAATAAAATCGAATATGGGCCCTTGATCCCTCTATTAAGGCAAATAAAGAAACATGGAATTATGACTATAAAATTTTAAGAAATTTTGTTTGAATTGTATATTGTATTGGATGCATCTGAATTTTATTATGCTAGTCCACTGACCTCAGTTAAGAATTTAACAACAGTTATATTCTTATATCTTCACAAAATGTAATCTGCTTCTGATAAAGGTCACAATACAAAATCTGAACTTGTTCTGTAATGGAGTAAATAATACACAGGTCTACAGTATGAAGGAATGATTGTGGTTCTGTAATGCCAATGGTGCAATACTGACATTAGTCAAATTCATATATATGGAATAACTGAAAATTAAATTCCCTGTTTGAAACCTCAAAGGTCATGACTCATATGTCTGTAAATCAGAACAAATTGCATACTGGTAGATAAAGGAAGAAAAAGAAAGACATTAACTTATATACACATGTACATGAATATGGTGATTTTTGTATACTTATTTGTATCGAAGCTTTGAGATCTTGCAACTTCATTGTCATAATATTATACTGAAAGACATCCTGGCATGGTTTCTTGTGATATTCGGTGGGGTTTATTTTGTGCATTGTAAAGTCAGTAAATTGCAGGAAAGAGTTATTCACAGCCAGAACTGATAAGTATCTTGCAATGTTATTTTCATGGAAAGAATATCATTTTCTTCTCAATACACTGAATCTTGTAGAATCTTATATTTAGTGAGTATGTCCAGTACATAATTAATTAAATGGAACAGAATATTTCTTGCAAAACTAGCATTTGCTTAAGAAATTCCTTTTCTTTTATAGAATCCAAAGGTTCACAAGAATTATACCCGCTATATGCATATTTTTAAATTTAAAATGAAAATATATTTCATAACAGAAGAGTATGAACCGTTCTGAAATTCACTAATACATGTCTGTATTGTCTGCAGACATGAAACAAGTCATATATATGAAGTAGACTAACTACATTTCATAATGTAATCATTGCTTGTAATATTCATATGAGGTCTACTGATCTCATGTAAGCAAGTGGTGGCTGTGAATTTTTTAAAATATTTGTAATTAATATTTCAGAATTACCGTCATTCACTAAAGGAAACTCTGTATCATTAAATGAGTATGGACTCTAAAATATATCAAGCATTACAAATAACATTGTCAAGACACTCATAATGCAACAAAACAAATTCTTGGATAATGAATCTGTCTGTCAGTTTATAAAGACTTGATGAGTGCTTGTATCATCTCATCATTTTCATTCAAACTTACAGCTCAGACAAGATCTGGATTGTGTAGCACTAGCTGGGTAAATAATAAAATTAGGCACATGTATGTTTCCATTAACTGCTGTGCATGACTGAATTTTCCCACACAAAAGAAATTAAATGTCATACATTAAAAATTAAAATCATAGTAATAAGTTTCTTGCATATATAATTCACTAACCTTACGTTCTTAAATTATGCATACTATAGGAGCAACAATATCATAATTATATTACCTTCCTTTTGTCATTTTGAAGTAAACATGAGATCATATTTTTTATGAAGTTAAATACTGTTTTGTAATCTTCTAGGTACTGACAATATGGGTTCTGGTGGGTAGGTAGTTAGCAAAGTTAGCCTTCAACTTCAGGGAATAAATATATGTAACCTGACTGATCTATATTAGACCTATTAAATATGCCCATTTGAATTAATTCTGTAATTTGTGTTTGTATGTTTGTATATGAAAATCTGATAAGGCAGTAGTGCAATAAATACAAGAATTCTGAAAAACAGTTCACATAATATTTTTACAATAACAATATGACAATGGCCAGCACTGTCAAAATATTTAACCACCATAATTAAAAATAAACAATAAGTTTAAAATTTTGACATTCATATTTAAATGAATCCTCATTCTTTAATACTTGTACTTTTTGAAGTAGTTGTGATAAGTAATGGGTTCTACTACCCAATCACAGGGCTTCAAAGAATATCATCATTACCATCATCCATCATCTTTGGTCCCATTTATGATCACTCATACTTCATTCCAACAAAGGTGTTTCAAAACTTCAAACTATTACAGGAATATAAATTTATTCATGTCATTTGTTTCAGTTTCAACTTACCACTTGACATCTCACATCAATCCTCTGCCTGATTCTTCATCTTCAAATATCATGGGTCGTGGAAGTTCTTTCAGTGCCATTGGATCACTGGCTATTGTTGGCATCTCTGGAATAATGGTAGCATTATCTTCCTCTTCTTCAGTGAAGATCCAATCATCCTTACTCTCAGTAGTAATGGTAGATATCATGTATGACTCAGTCAAGATGGTGTCAAAGGTCGATTCATGTATAATCATGCCAGTCGTATCTTCTTCAGATGTTTCAGTATTTGAATTTATATTCCCATCCATTTCAGTTTCATTAATTATTGAGACATTTTGCTTGTCAGTGTTTAAGTTTGAATCTATGATAATGTTGGTATTGCTAAATATATTGGCATCAGTAATGTGGGTAAATTTGTTTATGTGCAAAATGGTACTGTTATCTGCTGTCTTATTCTGTTCTTTGACAGATTTTATATTTTCATTTGCTATATTGTTATCAACGGAAATATTTGTTTGTGTATCTAAATTTACATTATTATTATCCAGATGGCTATTATTTTCTGTAATTTTTTGCTCAATGTCAACTGAACTGAAAGTATTCTTATTTGTAGTGTTTTGATTACTTATGTTCGAATCATCTGTTTCATTTTCTCTTTTACTGGAGAATATGATGAAAGTATTTTTTTTCTCAGAGTTTGTAACATTATCTGTTGACTTGTTCATATTTATGAATGTCTTCAAAGTAATATTATCATTAGCGTTATCGAGTGTTTCTGTATTTATAGCATTCATGACTGTAGTGGTGCCATCCAATGTGGTCATAAATTCAGACATTGTAACATTACTGTTTTCAGCAAAGTTAAGTTGCTTCTCATTGTAAAATATGTTACTGGTGTTGTGAGCAGTATTATTAATATCAGTGTCCTCAGTGATATTAATTATATTAATAGAAAGTACAGTTTCTTGCATCTCATCTGGTGTTGTATTGACATTGGCAACATTTTCTTCAGTGGTCACAACATCAAGAGGTGCACTGTTGAATGACGTGGTCAGAGTAGTAAGGTCAATGTACAAGTTGTCACTGTAAGTATGGAATAGAGACATAAGCCATGAACTTTAAAAATTTCCCAAATATAAATCAATTATTAAATAAATTAATACTGTTTATATTATGCCTTTATCCATTTATGACAAATTCTTTTTTATTGATTTAATTTCTCTAGCATGGAATAAGAAAATTTCTATTAGGAATATAAAGCAGTGTCATAAAGTATTGTTTTTTATTGTTAGTGGGGTGGAACTAAATCCCTTGTACTGTGGCCACTTCTGGCCTATTGTACCAGCTCCAGATGATAGGTGAAGGTGATTGTGGAGCAATTGGTGGAATTAAGATTGGCAGGGGAAACCGAAGTATTCGGAGAAAACCTGCCCCAGGGCCACTTTGTCCACCACAAATCCCACTTGACCAAACTCGGGATCGAACCTGGGCCACTGCGGTGGGAAGTCAGCAATTAACCACTTGAGCTATGGCACGGCCCAGTGTCATAAAGTAAATCGATCCATCAGTTTGATGGGCAGCTGGCATAACTATTAATTCCCCCTTCAGTGTGTTTTAAATTTGGTGGGGGGGATGACAAATGCTGAAATTACCTTGCAGGATAGTGTTCTGCAAATATGAGTAGTTGAATCATAACTTGAAAATTATATTGAAGATATAAACAATTTACTTGTGAGCTTGAAGGGTTTAAATGAAAGTCTAATATGGAAAAAGTTAAAACTTATATCTGACTGGCAAGACACTTATATATGACAGCAAAGGAGTAAATTACAGAATGAGGCTGGAAGTCGTTTAAGTACCAGCTTTAAATTTTGCTTTTAAGTCATGTTGGAGGGTGAACCCAATTCAGTCACAAATCTATATTTGTTGTGAATAAAACAGCAACTGTTTTCCTCCCTTTGATACATATTCTGGTGAATGAATATACAGAATTACTTGTAATTAGAAATATCTCAAACTGAAGAAATTCGTATCTGTACAAAAATAATTATAGTATGGAGACCGAAACAAGTTACTAGCTAATTGGTATCCTTGTAAATTTATTTGAAAGACAAAGTAATACTTACTCATCAGCTGGAATATTATAACCATTATCCACTGCAATTCTAGGTTCCTGTTCCATAATTGAGGCATCACTTTGCACCATGGAAGTGTTAATGTCTTCAGCAAGGAGTCCGGGATTTGGTTTGTTTGTATAACCCACAACTTTTCTCTCATCTAAATAGTAATAGCTGGGTTCATTGAATACTTTAATGTAGCTGTATGAAGTATGATAATACTCAGAGGATGATGGTTTCTGGTAGTCTGGCCTTCCAGCTGAAGAATCACTTTCAGAATGATGTTGCTCTTTATATGGAGGGTTGGTGAGAAGTGAGTAAGTTCCATCATGATGGCTGCTGGGTTTGGTTGGACGTGGTTTGTATTTGTTGTAATCCAATGTACTGGGAATATGTTCATTATCATAAGGTTTTGTGAAGGATATATATTCATAATGAGGTTCTGAGCTGCTTGTGACATGGGATATGTTAAATTTATATACATATTGTGGCTTGTAATGGTGTGTTGTATGCTCATGATATGGCTTAGGTTGATTTGTATGTTCATAATGAGGTTTAGAATAACTTGAATATTCATGATATGGTTTGGATTGTGTTGTATGCTCATATTGAGGCTTAGAATGGCTTGAATATTCATGATATGGTTTGGAATATGTTGTATGCTCATACTGAGGTTTAGAATGGCTTGGATATTCATGATATGGTTTGGAACTTGTTGTATGTTCATACTGAGGCTTAGAATGGCTTGGATGTTCATGATATGGTTTGGAATGTGTTGTATGTTCATACTGAGGCTTAGAATGGCTTGGATATTCATGATATGGTTTTGACTGTGTTGTGTGCTCATACTGAGGCTTAGAATGGCTTAAATATTCATCATGTGGTTCGTGGTGTGAATATTCACCATGTGGTTTATAGACTACTTGATGTTCATCATCCGGTTTATGATGCAGTAAATATTCGCCATGTGGTTCATAATGGTTACTTGTAAACTCTTCTTGTGGTTTATGATGTGGATTATATTCTTCATAATATTCAGGAAGACTCAGGTGATTATGACCACCGGATGGTTTTGTTGGTGCATACTCTTCTTTGTGATGAAAGTGGTAATCATCTGGAGGTTCAGTTTCTAGCTTGCTTGGAAGTTCAGCACCATGACCATGATCATAATTATGATTATTAAAATCCGGCTCTTTATGCTCCACTGGTAGGTATGCTGAATTAATGGGTTTATGACCAACATTAGGCCTTTTACTTGCGGGTCTCTCTGCATCTTCGAAGCTCTCATCTATGAGATATGTTGGCTTATGTGCTTGTTCAGGCTTTGGGTATTTGGTTGTTGTGTACATGTTTTGAGGTTTTGTGGGTTTACTTTGGAAGTTACTGTCTATCAGATATGTGGGCTTATTCTCTTCAAGGGGTTTAGGCGGTGGCTGTAATTCTACAATGAGGTAGCTTGGTTTGTGTTCTTCATATGAAGGTCTTGTTGTATGATGGTAACTTGGGGTTTGTTCTGTGGGTGGCTTTTGGTAGGATGGGTAGCTTGGTATGTGGTGTGATGGTGAGTGATCATGATCTGTCGATTCCTGATGATGGTACTCTTCCTCCTTACGGTGTTCTGCCCATGGCTTTAAATCCAAGTGGGGGATATAGCCACTGTCACATGGTACCCGATGATTGCTGAAATAAAACACTTGCATCATTTAAGCTCTTTAACGTCTTGCATACCAGAAGTCTGACTTGAGACCACAATGGTAAGTCCCAGAGCCCACGAGTCAGACTTTTTGACGTATTCAAGACAATCTTATTCTTTCAACCATTTGAATAGGTAGGTACTTTGCCTTCCATAGAATGCAAGAAGGTGAAAAGCATAGTTATATTTATGTATCTATATTTATATATGTTATGCAGCAATTAGGTTCCTTTTGTAGTGAAACTTCACTTCTGGTTTAAAGTTTTGATTATTCGCACAAAAAATATTTTCTCATAGCTTGTCATCCTGGGCACTTATGTTATTTCACACATCTGCCTGCATCACAAAGAGGTGGTACCTGTACTGGTTCTCTACATTCCAGGAGAGTGTACCTGTCACATTATCTTTTCTGTTTAGACTGTATTATCTTTATATTTCAAATTACAGTACATGACACTATTATTGCATACTTAAAGCACACTTTCTTTTAAAATCCCACTAAGAATAAATTAAATGTAAAGAAAATGTAACATTATCATATTGTTACCTACATCAAATTCTCCACAAATAAATATCTAACTCATAGTAAATTGTAATCAGCAGTAAAAAATTGTAACTATTGTAATTTTAATCTACTTATATATCAAATTGTTAATATTCAGAATTAACTGGACTTGTCATATATCATGTACAATGATCTATAGTGACGAAATAAATCAATCAATCAATCAATCAATGTGACATATTTTAACGAAAGCTTTCTGCTGTGAGTTTTCATATAGATGATCAGGAATATTAATTATGTGTGATCAATAATGTCCACTTGCACATGTAAAGTATAAGATTTAATGTTTTATGATAAAACCCAAACCCATTTGGTTTCGATGTTTATTTTTTTAATCAGGCTATCTTATCTGAATGCCTACCTCACTGTCATTAGCACACCCTGTTTCCACACATGAGGCTCTTGCAGCTTAGTTGTGACAGCATAATATATGTGCACTACTATTACTGAGCATAATGTTACATTTCAGCATTATGTTGCAATAATATCTCACTCATTCACTTTCCTTCATCTACAGTGCAAACACAACGTTTTATTTTATGTGTGATTATAAATGACATTTTAAATAAAATATTGTTTTTGCATTATAGCAGCTTCAAAACTATGAGGAATTGTTATGTAATTTTATGTACCATGATTTAAATTGAGTAAGAACAAAACATTGATGCCAACATCTCCTTAAAGATGTACAAGTCATGAGGATTTGAAGTGACAAGTATACAGAACTTCCATTTTGAGAGAACAAGGATAGTCCTCACATACAGTGTTTCTGAACCAAATGCAATTTAACTCACCGGTCATTGTCAACAGTAAGAAACACAAAAGGCTGTAATGTGTCAATACCATCCAAATTGTCACACAACATCCGTGCAAGTGTTACACGTCGGATCTGCTGCAGCTGGGCCAAAGTGAAGCTTGACTCAAACCCTCCATTCTCATACCAGAATCTGTCACCTGTAATAGATATATATATAGTTCATATCAGCTTTAATTCCTCTCTTTTGGTCAAAATTCTGACACAGGATGAAACACTATGGTACATAAACCAAGAACTTCAGAAATTCAAGAATTCAATGAAGTTTCAGTCACAAACACAATTCATAGATTTAACTTACTTTAAAAGTAATCTTCTATTCACTATGTATGTGTGTGTTTATGTGTATGTATGTAGGTGTGCATGTGTGTGTGTATGTGTGCGCACATGCATGTAGGAAATTGGGAGGGCAGGTGTGCAGACACATTTGCTCTGTACATATGCAAGATTAAAACATAGCAGAAACTGCATATGAATAAGCTAACCATAGTTATATTTTATATTTCTTGAGCCATTTCAAACAGTGAATAATCTTTATACAACACTGTACTACCTTTCCTAAGATTGCTGAACTGCTGGGCTAGGATGCAGGCAAAAGTGGGACCCACAAGTCCACCAGATACTGGACGCTCTGCCATTGCTCCAGGAAACAAATCAATGTCATCCACATCTCTGGAAACCAAGTAAGCATGCAATATATTATTTGCTGCAGATGTAACTAGACCATATTTTACATTGTTTTTATGCATATTTGGCCTCCATCAGAAAAATAATTTCCTTATAGGGTCATAAATTTCGCTTTTTAAACAACTTTAATTTGGTTCAGTTATTTTTCTTACATTTTGTGATACATAATCAAGTTTGTTTATTTGCATTAAAACCAAATTGCATATTAGCAGGATAAATTATAAGCAAGATAAGCCCCTTTTAAGAAAATTTTTAATGTTTATGGATTAGTTTTACATTACTGAAAGATGATATTCTGTTTTTGTTTATGACCTTGTGAAGTATTCTTGCAATAAATAGATACAAGGATGCAGTCATAACAGTGCAGTTGTTTGGAGCAGGAGACTTTCCTGATGGCACAATATTTCGTTCCTATGGCTTTGTTGAAGTCTTCACAGCTCCTGCAGTTTCCAGTAGTTAAGTACTCAAATATCAATGTATGGATATTCGGTTTACTTAAAGTCTATTTCAAGTGATGCAGAAATATTGAGAAATAGTGCATGAGAATCTGTTTCAGATATTAAAATCTAATACAGTTTGCACATCTATTCTATTCAGAATCATGCATTACAAAGAAGAATTGACAATGTAGTGACTTATAGTGTCCTCTCTTTCACATTGACCTTACTCCTCCAGGTAATTGCAATTCATTTCACAATGGCTACAAAGAGGAACCAGGGAATGAAGAGCTATGTTTATCCAGTAGAATGTTTTGTAATGGACACTATAGATTTTTGACTTAGAGAAAAATAGGTTTCAATAAAAGAAGGCATAACAATCAGTGGACCTCACAGAAATGAAGTTTGGGAATATTTAGAAACTTTTATTGCAAGCAAACAAAAGAATGATCAGAATTTCTCAGAACTTGAATGAAGTAATGAAAATACTGAAAGCATGAAGTTATTGTCATCATTCTGTCTGCAGAATATTAAGGGAGCATTTATTTTAAGATCTGGCAATATCATTACTCACTAAGCAAATAATTTTAAAAATTCAACATGAAACAAGTAAAAGTATGAATAACGTAGAATGCAAGAAAATACAAAACTCTGAATATATTTCATTTATGAACAACAGAAAATATCTATTGCAATGAAGACTGATGAATACATTTCAAAATTGTATCTGTCTGACATCTTACTGAACAAAACCATAACTCTGACTTATTCAGACTTCCAAGATGCAAGGTTTCCAAGGCAGCAAACTGTTTACAACTGTGATTTGCAGCAAATTTAGAAACTTCCTATGATAAACCAGGTAGTATGCAAATGATAATAGAGATGTTATTAACATCCTATTTTTTTTTGTTGCACTGAATAATAAGAATTGCCTAAGCTGACCTGTATATGCGTTTTAGCCTGCGTTGTGTTTCAGTTGACATAACTTGGAGTAAATCTGACCAGTCAGTCAGGGGTTGAAGTCCACATGGCTCACGCCAAGCAGTATATGGGGCCAATCCATGATCGCGTCCTCTCTGGATATTCAAGGCTGCCAGATCCATACCATAGCCATAACCTGCAGAAAGCATCCACAACAGATTTCTCAGTCATCACCAGCCTTAGGGCAATTATGATGGACAATGAATGATATAAACAGGTTTAATGTGAAATGCATTGTATTTTTAATTATTTGTGATGAATTCATTGCCTATTTTGTTATTAGTTTTCTCTGGCATTATTCCCTCATTCTGCATCAATCTCAGAGTAAGACATTAGACATCAAGTTAATAGAACTAAATGGAAAAATTGTTAATATGAAATGGTACATGGTAAGTATTTCTTATGAATTCATATGAAAAATTCTGTGATGTCTAACAGACATTTTATCTTATTTATATTGCAACATTTCTCTCAATAATATAACAAAAAAAGTAAGAGAAATTCTTAAGAGATCTTATCTGAGGTTTCCAATAGATATATCTCTCATGGCATGGCTACTTTAGTACTGTCACCTGTGAAAGACAATGATGTTAAAAAGTATTGTGAATTGCGTGCAGTGGCAATGTGAAGTATAACCCATGGTACGTACTTGGAGTCTGAAACAGGTGATTTGTGAGTTCCTCTGTGATGAACTCATCCCTTTTCTGTGCTGGCTGCTGACATAGTCCCAGCAACAGTCTGTCCACTGACCCAATGTTGTATAGATTAGCTGGATTTGTCAACTCCTCATGCAGAGAAACATCTGGAAGTGTGCATTTTGTCATTCAACAGTTAGCAGGCTAATAGCGGATTCTAAGTTTTTCATAGATAAGTGGAAGGTGTTGGATTATGGAAGCTTTAAATCATTGTGACATTCTTTTGTTCCAGAAAGAAATAAAGAAAGAAGGGGTATGGAAGAAGACATGTCCTTTGTTAAAACTAGGCTGTCTCCCCAAAGAATTTTAAAAATTCAACACAGAATCTTTTTATGTGCCTTAGTAGTTTGTTGTTTGTTTAGATAAAGAGATCACCTGTTGAAGTAAGATCAACATTCAGAATATAAATTTGTAATGCAGTGTTGGGTCCAGTCCAATGATTGTTAATTCACACAATTTTCTTTTTCAAGGCAAAATGTCATATGTCAAAATATTTGTGTAAGTATATATTCTGCACATTAGCACTGATAAACATGCAAATAAAAGCATTAATCAGATCTTACAATGAATATATTTGACTTAATTTCCACACAATTTATGCAAAAAATAAAAATTATTTTTCCAATGAACACAGGCAATCGTACTATCAGTTTCTGTACTCATTTTTACATTTCTCACTGTCTGGTGCATCCAACTTCCTTTTATTGCTTAATTTTAGTGAAACACAAAAAATAATATTGTGCATTTGCTTGATTTCATAATTCTTAAAATATATGGTGCAATGAGTCCATATATGATAAAAATTACTTATTTTTCGAATTTTGAATCATGTATGAGAAATGGTATCTTATTGTGGGGTGGGGAAGGAGAAAGTAAAAGAAATTTTAAATTGCAAAAGCGGGTTCTTCGAGTGATTAGTGGTATTAGTAGTCGCACGTCATGTAGACAAATTTTTAAAGATTACAATGTTTTAACATTGCCTTCTCTGTATATATTGGAGGTGACATGCTTTATCAAAAAATACAAGGCTTTTATGGCAATAAATTCAGACATTCATAATTATAACACACAAAGAAAATTAAATTTTCATGTACAGCACTGTAATACAGCTTTTTTTAAAAGGAGTATGATAAATATGGGAATTAGTTTGTATAACAAGGTCCCCAATCAAATAAAACAAAGGGAACATTTTAGCTCATTTAAAAAGAAATTAAAATCTTTTTTGCTGAAACATTCCTTTTATTCTGTAGATGAATTTATGTCTTTTGATTCATCAAGTGTGTAAATGTAATATGTAGCTGATTAATTTGTTGTATTTGTGTAAAGACAATGAAATTAGTGGTTACTAGATTTAGATAATATTATTCAGATGACAAACCCCCTATATTAGGGTGGTACAGTGTATACTGTAAAGATATGCACGAGAATTATATGTAAAACTGACAATTTCCTTATTCAAATGGTTGTAATACCTGTATGTATGGATTGTTGAATGATAATAAAATGATAAATGAAAAAATGAATGGAGGATGAATTCCACACATTTACCTCCCCTGGTACTAGATGGGCTGGAGGCACTATCATATTCCAGGAAGAAAGTCCTGGTACCTTTTGAATAGGAGGCTGGCTTGTCCCTGAAACCAGTCTGGATGCTGTATAAAAGGATAAAATTCTTATATATACCAGGAACTGAACAGTGGGTCCATAGCTAGTTACTTAGATGACTGAGAGATCCTGGCTTTCTTAAATTCGTGATTTTCCATTTGGGATGAAGTAATTTTGTGGAAAATATCTTATCATCAGTGAAGTAATATTTAAAAACAGAATGTCTCACAATATGCACAACTACATACTTTTGAATCACTGCACTAATTTTACTGATAAAGTAACAGAAAATTTCTAATACTTACTAGTATATGTAATGGTGATAATAGAATGACATGTGAGCAAAGTATTACCATTTATTTTTGGTTGTCTTTGAATGCTTCAACTCGTTGACATTATGTAACTTTAGTCTCTGTTATGAAAATTAGTTTGCAATTGAGGTTATATTTTTCCATTTTCACATCAGCTTTAATATTCAATGAACTGCAGAATATGATTTTATGCAAGAAACACATTTTCGAATTAGTAGACATACTAGTGTTAAGTATATATTAGAAATTGTAACAGTCATGTGACAAGTTATGGCACTCACTAGAAAGCAGTCTGTGATGACTTCTGTCACATCTCACAAGACTATGCTGCACGAGACTGTGTCCAAACCTGAAAGCTGCTGTACCAAACGCATTAGCTGCAGTTGGCTTGGTCTTTATGTTATATCCTGTAAAGTACCCTCTCTTCATCAGCTCCAGGTCAAAGAGCTTCATGACATCATGGCCTGAATATTGAAAACACAAGAGTTACTCATAAGTAACAGCATATAAATTTGATATTTACCTGTTCAAGATAATGGCTGCTTTTTTTTCTTTTCTTTATTGCTAGTGGGGTGGGACTAAGTCCCTTGTACTGTGGTCACTTCTGGCCTATTGTACCAGCCCCAGATGATAGGTGAGGGTGACTGTGGATATTCATTCATTCATCGGTAATCTGTCAGACGACAGGTCCATAGTCTCTTCCAAAACAGTTCCTCCACTTAATGCGATCTCAAGCTTTCTCCTTCAGTTAAAATATCTTCTTCGGTCTTCTTCCTCGTCTTTTGGGCACTTCTATCTGCCCCTCCGGTTTGTTTGTCTCCAGAGGAAACATCTCGCATACATGGTATCTCTGTTTTTGGAAAGAGACTATCCAGGAAAAGTGATAATGTGGTAGTTTTTCCATTTGCTTTCCACATCGCAGTACAACAGCCGTTCAAACCACTCTGGTCACGCCTGTTGCTATACGAACTTGAACCATCTCGAGCATCATTTGCTCTGTGCTTCAAGTCGCTGCTGATGACGCTGCTTCCGGCATCAGTTTTTGGTTTTTGGTGTCTCTCTTCGTCTGATGCCTACCCTTTGACCTGTCCAGCAAGGGAGGCCCTGCCAGTAGCTACGCTACCGCTGGTATAGCTCTCAGGGTCCTTGGCATACTCAAACCCCCTCACCACGATAAGGTGGAGACACCAACGAGGGGATTGTGGATATATGGTAGGTAAAAAGTGAGCTAAAACTGTCCCTGTGCTTAATTAATTTAGCACTATACCATGAAGATGTGTAGGGGAGTGGATGTATACATCCAAATTTCTAGTTTAAGGTGAGTGATCAGATTCACCCTCTGGGAAAGAGCCCCCTGTACCCATTGTATAAGAGGCTGGGTGGGCCCCAGAGCCTGTTTGGATGACGTGGAGAATAGAAAATTATTAACACTACCGAGACTTGAATTCCGATCTCTCTGTCTTCCAGTCGCTGTACCGACTGTGCTGTCCTAGCTCCCGATATGTGATAGGTAAGCTCTTGAATACTGAAGATGAATAAAATTTGTTAAGATTCTTAGAGTACTAGCGAGTCATTGACATGCAGGGAGCGCATTCGATGTTCTGATATATACAAATACATCAAAATTTTGAGACTGATTTTTTTTTTAACGATCCCAGTATTTCTTTATGCTACTCATATGTGAATCTTTTTTTTTTTTAAATTGCTAGTGGGGTGGGACTAAGTCCCTTGTACTGTGGCAACTTCTGGCCTATTGTACCAGCCCCAGATGATAGGTGAGGGTGACTGTGGAGCAATTGGTGGAATGAAGATTGGCAGGGGAAACCAAAGTACTTGGGGAAAAACCTGCCCCAGCGCCACTTTGTCCACCACAAATCCCACTTGACCAGACTCGGGATCGAACCCGGGCCGCCACGGTGGGAAGCCAGCGACTAACCGCTTGAGCTATGGCGTGGCCTAACGAGTGCTTAATCATTATTAATTATTTAAAACTGTTGCTTTTAAGGTAAAAATACAAAAATCTTAGTTCCATTGTGAATTAACATTAGGTTTGGTCGTGTATAAAAGACAAACGTCATGAAAACAAAATAAATTTGTCAGATCAGTTGTTCTAAAAACAGTGACTCTGAATAGTACTGTCTTCTGAGTTGTAATGCCAGAGGAATATACTGCCTCATTATTCAGGATTATAGGGTAGGCCATGCAAGAGATCAGCAAACAGTAAATGACAAGCAGAGCTCACTCTGCTAGAAACCGGAATGAAGCAGGTACGCAGTGGAGCTCTTTCTCCTAGCTGCCTGCTTCTTGCTGGTTTCTTGTATGATTTACTCTTCAGCCTTGAAGATGAAGGTGATACTTTCTGACAAAATAGTGGGCATTTTCCGAATTATGTGGCATTACAGCCCAGAAGACCATAATCTTCAAAATAAATCTGCATGAAGATGAAGTTTAATTGCAGTTTTGAAAAAAACCGAACTGTCATGGACTCACCAAGGACAATGGGTAGGAACTCCCTGAAAGTTATATGCTGCATAATGGCCCCAATGATTCTACGTGTTTCCTGGTACAGCTTCTCGTCTCTCCAATGTGGGTTGATGTGACTAAGCTCTGTAGTAATTTTGTTGTGAGCTCTCAGCCATATAGTGTGCAGGGCTATGAGTCCTGGTTGTTCATTGACACGCTTATCTCCTGCATGGAAACATCTGATGTGACCTGACTGACCCCGGCATAAGTCTGCCTTGTAATTTGCGGCTGGCAGCAGTGGCAGCCGATACTGTACACGGCTGTACTTCAGCAGACCTGTAGCAAACAAAATTAAGCTGCAAACTGAACTGTTATTTGAATCAGTCCTCACACTAAAACATTAAATTGAGCCATTCAATGAGTCTACCTCAACAGGTTAAGAAGAATTGAGAACAAAGGATGCAAATTGGCTGGACAATATATCCTTACCATTCCTAAACATCCTAAGATCATCTTCATCTTTTTCTGAGCTTCCATATATTGCAGAAGCATCAATGAAGGAGGTGACTTGGTTGATTTGGTCACGTGGTCCCAGAGAACAACCGACATGGGAGGTTGGACTGCTCCGTACAAATTCCAAACAGCGAATACCAAAACGGCTGTAAAACCAGTCATCAGGTTGCACAGGGATGGCCATACAGTCTGGGTGCTGTGGGTAGAATCACAGAATTTGCATAAGTTATAAAATTATATTCTGTGTATGAAAAGATTCTAAAACTCTTCTTAGCCACTGATGTGAGCACCTCAGACAGAACATTCCAAAATTAAACATGAACTGGAGACAGGAAATTAGAATGGAAAAAAGACACCCAAACGCAGATATTGTGGAATGTAACTGAAAACATATTTTTCGAATTCAGTACCTCTTTACCGAAAAAATGCAAAGTATTTGTGGCAAATTAATCTGAGAGACCTAACCTGTTTATGCAATATAGATATAAAAGGGGATGAGCCTGTCTATCAATCAAATGACTGAAGTATAATTGCAATATGCTTTTGTCAAATATATTCTTGTAAAATACAAATGCAAGAGAGGAGAGGAAAATATATAATCAATGTCTCTGTGCCAAGGAAGATAACATCAGGGTAAAGGCGATGTGAAGAAGTATACAGGTATAACTCACAGTAAGTTCCAGTGGCTGAAAATCACGACCTCCATCAATGCAGCATTTGGGTACTGATCCATTAAACCCTCGGCTCTGTGCAGAAGCTGTATAAAACATATAAAAGGAAGTAAAGTAAATCTATCCCTGTACCAGGCCGTGAAGGCCCATAGGGTCATGAGACGTTGAGGGTCCCACACTATCTAGACAATCGGCTTAAAGATGGCGGTAAGGTTGTCAGCCTTACGCGCCGGCCGCGCTTTACTCCCCAGGAAAATTATTTAACTAATCCCTGGTACTCATTTCTGTTAGAGGCTGAGTGAACACCAGGGCCATAATGCAGCTGGAAGGATTAGGTCAATTGAAATAAATCCAATGACCTTGAACCCGCGACTTTCTGCCTTGTAGCATAGCCCCTCAACCAACTATGCTACCACATATATACAAATGTAAATACAGTACATGAAATAAGAAGCGTCTTCATCATTTAATTATTTATTTTTTTAAAGAAAGTAAAATTTGTGTAGACTGAAATAAGTATATCTGTTCGCAAGAAATGACACATATACTGAACATTGTCTATCAGCTCATCTTGACTAGCGAAACACTTCTCTAGAAATTAGTTATGTCTGTCATCATGTAAGTGTAGCAGCCTACACAGTTGCAGCTAATCTCTATCCCTCAGGTTTTTACTTTCATTTGATAATGGAAACAGAACAAGTTTCTTCAGCATTGTGTTTCTGTAAACGGAATGATTTGATGGAACTGCCCAATATGCACAAAATGTCCTTCCAAATCTTAAAGCTCATCCTGCTCTAATTTAGTTATGTAACTTTTCATAATTCAAGACCTACCTTCAGCATCATGTACAAATGTATAAAGAAATAACTGTGTTCAGTTATAACAATATTAAATGAGACGTTTAACCCTTGGAAGATTCGAGGTACTCATTTCCATTAGGGGCTGAGTCGGTTCTAGGGCTAGAAGGATTTAGTCACCTAATAAATCCAATGACTTCATTGGGAATCAAAGCCTCGACCTTTTGGCTTGTAGCATAGTGCCTCAACCAACTACGCTACAGCGTGCCCCTGGTGAGGCTGGGGGCAATTTTTCTTAAGTGTCTAGTACATTTAAGTTATAATTCTGGGTGTTGGTTTCAGGAGTCATAAAGTTTGGAGAGAAGAATGGCTAGTTCGCCGCTAATGCCCAACATGTTGCGCAACTATGGCTTTATGTAGTTTATGTAGTTCCTACTTCTGCATTTCTTAAGTTTAGTGAGACTGTTGTGTTGTGCTTACATGTGAGGTCATGGTCCAGAAACTGTCCCCATTGCATCACCATGTGTGTGATGGATGTCAGGTCACTGTCTCGGTCGCTGTGGATTGCTGAGCTTACTAAACGGGCACTGGGAAGTGAGCCCCCTGACACTGATATTCGTACCTTCTCCAAACCTGAAACATTACACAGAGTTTGGTTAAATTAAGGCTTTTAATGACTTACAGTTCCACAAATTGTGTTCAGTTTTACATCCTGCTTTGGTGAAATTCTTAACTGTTGTGTGGTTGGTTAGTGAATAAAATGGATCTGCAAAATCTCTAATTTACAAATATATAGGAATATCTATTATTGTTGTTATTGTTGTTATTGTTGTAGGTGGTGTCCCGTTGTTGTTGTTGCTGCTGCTGCCTTCATTGTTGTTTTGTTTTGTTCAAGGTGGTGCTTTGTCCCTGTTGTTATTTGTTGTTGTTCTTGCTTTCGTTGTTATTTCGTTTTCTTTTGTTTGTGCGTTTTGTTTCTTTTTCTTTACGCATGTTCATTTTATTATTTTACTTTGGGCTATTAAGTTAGAAAGTAAATAAATAAGAATTAAATTATGATAAAATACTTTACACTATGTAACAAACAAACAAAAAACCAACTCCGTGGCCTTTAGTCCGCAAGCGAACTATACCGACCGAGCGACCGCTGCTTGTCGGCGAAGCTAGAGCCAACTTTTGCGGATAGAGGGTGTTGTGTGTTCAGCACAACGGATCCCCACGGCCGTTAATCTCGGTTTTCTAGACCAGAACCGCTATTTCCTCCTCAATTATCCTCACGAGGCTGAGTGGACCCCTTTCCAGACCCACTACTTCTCAGAGAATCTTGTAGCGCCGGGAATCGAACCCATACCTCTGCATCTGTAGCCAGGAACTCTGATCAATAGACCACAGTGGCGGTCTACATACTAAAAATGGTGCAGGACCTTGTTAGTAATAATCATCATCGTCATTGGCTGGATTTACGTCCCATGATAGAGATTAATATTTCACACACTTTGAATCTTAGCGAAAAACTAAATGTCAGATTTAAAGGGACTTTGAGCGGGAAGTTAGAAACTTTATAGAAGACAGGCGGTCTCTGGCAAAGGAACTGATTCTGTGGTAATCTTCACGCCAACTCCATTAAGTATTAAGGGAGAGGTTTATAGAGTCCGAGCATGTTTCACAATATTTGTTTGGGTTTTGGTCCTTCGTGGAATGGGCATGCAGCCCCGTACATACCGTCCCTATAGTGTGACGGTAAGAAGCGATGGAGGGGCATCATTGAAGCGCCCCACCAGGGGTGTGCTGGGTTGTTGCAGCGGCCGTCAGCAGTTCGGTAACGGCCACTGGATTCTGGACAGTCCACGGGCTGATCACCTCGCAAGGGGCACTGGTCGTGCAGTGCCGTGTGCAGTAGTGAAATTGTGGGTAGTTTGAGCCCACGCACAGCGGCGCGGCTCTCTGCCCCAGAGTACAACCTGAAACAGAATCATCTTGACATTTCCTATTCTAAGACCCAGATAGAGTAACCTAGGTTTATAACCGTAATTTTGGGTTAAAATTAAACATGCATTTATCGCAGACTTTCTCTCCTTCTGTCACCTAAAGATAAAATTATTTTGTTTTCAAATTTTCTTCCGTCCTGTGTCTCTGGCGGTTGCCAGAAAATTGTAAAGTATAATGAACAAAACGATCTATGTTCACCCCTGTTTAGTCCCGAAACGAGTATGTACGGTTAACTGCGTAAGATTTACTTGGGTTAACAACCCTTTACACCATACGGCACAACGGCAATAAATACGAGAAACACGTGTGATATCCTTTTCATTCTTATAACCCGAATTTAAGGGAAGCCAGAAAAATCCGGTGGTAACTTTCTCAATTAATGGTTTAAAATTCTCTATTACTGTTCGTACTTTTATGAACATCATAAAGTGAACCGCCTCTGTGGTCTAGTGGTCAGAGTTCCTGGATACAGATCATAAGGTCCCGGGTTCGATTCCCGGCGCTACCAGATTTTCTGAGAAGTAGTGGGTCTGGACTAGGGTCCACTCAGCCTCGTGAGGATAACCTAGGAGTTACTTCAAGGAAATAGCAGCTCCGGTTTAGTAAATCGAAATTAACGGCCGTGGGGATCCGTTGCTCTGACCACGTGACACCCTCTGTCCGCTAAAGTTGGCACTAACTTCGCCGACAAGCGGCGGTCGCTCGGTCGGTATAGTTCGCTTGCGGACTCAAGCCACGGAGTTCTTTTTTTGTTTGTTATAAGAGCAAGTGAACAAATTCACACACACAGTAACAAGTAATAAGATAAATCGTGTTGAAAATGGAGAATATTCCCTTCGAATATGGAGACTGGTTGTGGAATATTTAATTAAGCCATGAACGGAAGAAAAGGGATGATATTCCAGTTGGAGAGTCGACAAAGAAGTGACAATCTCTCGTCGTATGATGGAAAATACATTACAAAATGCTGCATATTTTCTCGGGAAACTGGATCCTAGAGAAACAGGTTATGAAAGTTTGAGCTGGATTGAGATACTGCAGCATAAAGTTAAATGCCAAATTCCTGTGACACAGTAACGTACCTTCGGGTTTTATAGAAACTGGGGATTGCTTGACCCGATTAATAATTATCAGTTCCTCATGGAATACGTTGCACCCAAGTGGTTAGTTAGTTTTCCTTAATTCGCATAGTGGGGTGTAGCTGAGCGGTCTAAGGCATGAACTGTCTTCGCTCGCTTGGACACCGGGGTCGTGGGTTCGAATCCCACTCAGGGCATGGATGTTTAGTTTGTGTGTGTGCGTTTTTCTGTTTGTGTACAGGTAGAGGCCTTGCGACGAGCTGATCACCCGCCCAAGGAGTCCTACCGAATGTGTAAGATCTAGAGAAACCGAAGTGAACGGAGAAGTTCATGGAGGTAGGCCTAGGCCCACTGTGGTGTAGTACCAGGGGAAATAAATAGTGGGGGGTGGAGTCCAACTGGGTCCACTCGGCACGGCGCCCATTGTTTGGCCTATTGTAGCCTGCCCCGGGTGATTATGATGATGGAGAATTTGGTGGAATGAAGATTGGCAGGGGAACCGAAGTACTCGGAGATAACCCACCCCACCGCCACTTTGTCCACCACAAATCCCACTTGACAGAACCCGGGATGGAACCCGGGCCGCTGCGGTGGGAAACCAGCGACTAACCGCTTGAGCTATGGCGCGGCCTAGTTAGTTAGGAAACTAATTACGAATATGAAACTCGATATATTGAAGTGTATAGGTCTGGAACGTAATTTGATTTACGTGCTACATTGCTACATGCTGTGTATTGTACACCGAGTAAGCTGGTTCAAGCGATACACGTCTTAATTGAATTAGGGGCCCCATTCAAATCTCGGCCAAGAAACACATTAGCCTGGCTGAAGTCTGTTGTGGCAGTCTCGAGTCCCTCAAGTAACATCCCACGCCATAGCTCAAGAGGTTAGTCGCTGGCTTCCCACCGCGGTGGTCCGGGTTCGATCCCGGGTCTGGTCAAGTGGGATTTGTGGTTGACAAAGTGGCGCTGCGGCAGGTTTTCTTCGAGTACTTCGGTTTCCCCTGCCAATCTTCATTCCACCAATTGCTCCACAATCACCCTCACCTATCATCTGGGGCTGGTACAATAGGCCTGAAGTGGCCGCAGTACAAGGGACTTAGCCCCACCGCACTAGCAATAAATAAAAAAAAAACATGTCGTGACAGTGACTTAAATTAGGCCACAACCTCTTCCTTTCATATCCTTTCCAACTCATTATTTATAGTCGCCCAATTATTCTACGCTATATAGTACGAATCACTGACAGTGTCGCTAAGTAAAAAACAAACAAATAAAATGTACATCTTCTGAGATGTAACACAGTGTAATTAGTTGAAAGTTAACGAGCGTTTCGGAGGAAATTGTTGCCTCCTTCTGCAGGGCTCAAGAATGAGTCACGCAATAAGCTAGCATGGAAAACAAACTTGTTCTAGCTGGCTCTGCTTGCCACCTGGTTTCACGATGTTTCTTGTTTGGCTTATTCTTCTCCCCTGAAGATGTAGGCGATATTTTCCTCCGAAACGTCGGTTGACTTTAAACGGTCTACACGGCATTATAACTCATTAGAACTGTTCATAACCACAGCCGTGAGAGCCTGAAATCCTGTAAATAAAAGGAAGAAAATTTAAATATTATAATTTATATTATTTTTCTACTGGCTCTACAGCCCCCACTGGTCTCTGAATTTTCAGTTTCATGATCATTTTACAGACGGTAGGACTCCTTGGACGTGTGATCAGTTCATCGCAAGGTCTCTACCTAACACAGGACAACACAAACAGAATAAACTAATACACATATGAAACATCCACGCTTTGAGTGAGATTCGAAACCACGATCCCAGCGTTCGGGAAATGGAATTAGGGAGGAACTTACTGGGCAGGGCATGTAGACTTAATGAAGAGATGAGCTATGCATACAGAATGATGGTCGTAACACAAAGAAAATAAGCAGCTAGGGAAAGATAAGTAGATGACAGGAAAATATTCAAACAGATCTGAAATGAATGAGGCATGAGAATGTGAATTTCATTCGTCCGGCTTACGACAGGGTCTAGTGGATCTCGTGAACGTAGTAATGAGGCCTAAAGTTTCATAAAAGACCAGAAATTTTTGTTTAACTAAGTGACTATTGTACCAAAGAATTCAGCTCCAAGGAGCTGAGTTACGTTTCATTACAACTGATTTCATGCCTTACCATGACGATGTTTGTTTGAAGATCAGTAACGTAAACCTTCACAGAGCTGCACATTTACAATACTGGTACGAAGCAGAAAGTCTGTAGAATAGCGGAAATTTCTGTGATCAGGACCAAAACCGTGGATCGTTATTAAAAAGTTGTTCAAATGAAGAACACTTCACAGCTGTTCAGCTCTCTTCTCTCTGGAGTCTTCTCATCAACTGAAAGGGACTAGTTTCTCCTGGTCTCATTTATACGGAGTCTCGGGTCACTACACATCTCTGCTGCTATTTGCCGCCTGATTTCATTCACACAGCGACGTGACAGTGTCTTCTTAAAGTGGGGTACAGTTATGGAAATAAATCCTCAAGAGTTCCTCTTCCGTGACTACTAGAGTTTTTGTAACCCTCTGTATACTGTCTCCAGAATTAATGAATACGATTTCAGGATGTAATCCATTGTGCCGTGGAAACGAAAGTTAATGAACCCTCTTTTTTTTCTGTATACTAAGTAGGTGCCGGCCGGTCACGGTAGCCGAGCGGTCTAAGGCATGTACTGTCTTCGCTAGCTTGGAAACCTTGCGACGAGCTGATCACCCGCCCAAGAAGTCCTACCGAATGTGTAAGATGTAGAAAAACCGAAGTGAACGGAGAAGTTTATGGAGGTAGGCCTAGGCCCACTGGGGCTGTAGTGCCAAGGGAAAACAAAGTAGATGCCGATTACAGTCACCGAGCAGTGTAAAGCATGACTTGTCTTCACTCGCTCGAACACTTGGATTGTGAGTTCGAAATCAACTTAATGTATGCATGTATGTGTATGCGTTTGTTCTGTGTTTAGGTAGTGGCCTTGTGACGGGCTGATCCCCCCATCCAAGGAGTCCTGCCGACTGTGTAAATAATGTTACGAAACTGAAGAAGAGGCCAGGGCCCAACAAAGGGTTGTAGAGCCATTGACGAATGAATTACGAAGTAGGAACACTCGATTTTAAGGCCTATATCTTCTTCCTGGACAGGGTCTCTGTATCAACGATTCTGTCTTTTACTAAAGAGAAAAACTTTACGTATCACTTTTATTTACATTAATGCTGCATAATGAGAGGTTTTATAATTTACACTTTTTATAAGATATTATTAAGATTATCGAATTAAGGAGCGTGAGATGATCTGGGAATGTAACAGATTATAAAAATAAATGTATAAAAAATTTCAGTTCTAAAACCGGAATTTGTTAATATCAGCCAGTTTTCATAGAGAATGCTATTTTTTAAATATTCCAATTATTTTATAAACCTCAAGAGAATCATACCTAAATTAGCACAACTGTTTGTCTTTTCGAGTCTTATAGAATAGTTACTGAATTTATATTATGATACCGTACAGTCTCGTAGACTTTTTTACCTACGCTATTGATGCTTCAGAAGACTAAAGTTGAAGACTGCATATTCACCCTAAACGCTGTTAACCACTTACGAAATTATACGGTGCTGTAACCCACGAAATCGTAGTCTAAGTTTTCACCACACTAAAAACCTCAAATCACGTACAGTTTCTGAATCTTATTCGAGCCATCAGATACATTTTGTTACCTGCTTTAATCGCTTGGTTTCCTGAGTAGAAAGTAAGAAGTTTTTATGGAGTGTCTTCCGCTCTCTCAAGGGAGATGTTTCCCGACATAACACAAAATCCTCTTGCCTATTCGTGTCTGTAATTGCGTGTGGAACCCATTATACTTCGT